TGCACCATCCTCACCTTTTCGAACATTCGCCGCTTGGTGTGTGAAGACCCGCAACGACTTCATGTCGGGCTAATTTCATGGTAGCCACACCCGCCCCGTGTTGATGCGTCATTTGCTTGGTGTTGCGTGATGGGCGCCGGCTGTACCCGCAGGTGAACGTGGGAAACAAGTACAACCGCGAAGCGGGCTTGTCGGACAGCTGCTCCTCTCGCCAAGGCGATTTTCAAAATCTCCCCTTCGAAGATGCTGAGTTCGATGCGGCGTACCAGATAGAGGCAACGTGTCATTCCCCGGACAAGGTGACCACGGTTCAAGTCATGCGGCGGGCGAATTTTCACACGGAGGACATACCCGTCATCCTTCGTGACGCACGCTTCTGTATGATGCACGCGTACATGTTTGTGCTGCTTTTGCCTACTATGTTTAAACCAGGTCTGTACGTACTTGTCAGGAGGAGGAATAAATCTTAGGTGTAATAAATCTTAGGTGTATGCGTTGTTTCAGAGTTTCCTACTGCGTCTTCTCATCTCGAAGGTGCAAGTCTTCCGGGAGGTGTGCCGTGTCCTGAAGCCTGGGTGCATGTTCGGCGGTTACGAGTGGGTCGTGACGGACAAGTATGAGCCCGATAACGAGGCGCACGTAACACTGAAGGAAGGCATCGAGGTAGGGAACGGGCTGCCCACTCTAGCCACGCCGGCCATCATTAAGGCGAACCTTGAAGAAGCTGGGTTTGAGGTGAGCGGTCGGTACGCTCGTTAACAAGCACCTCTTCACCGGTCTGCGTCTTGAGTGCATTCTGGAACAGGCTTTAAAGGTTAGATTATTGGGCTGCACTGTCGCTTCCACAATGCTCCAACGTTAAATGCTCAATACAATAGATCGATACACATCAGATATATGATAGGTTGGGTGTGTTTTGTTTTTGTTTTTGTTTTAATTTATTTATGGGGACGCAGTAATTTATTGGAAGGTTTATAATATATTCCATGTATGTATGGGCCGCATGCATTTTTGATGGGCAGGAGAAATACGGCCGAGGCGTGATTCAAATCCAAGGCGGAATTACACACTATTTGTTCGCGGTGACATTACACCAGATGGACTCCTTTGCTTGCATACGGAATTTAGCTTTCTATGCATGACTAAGACACAAGAGACCCGGTTGATTTTTGTTTTTACCCGATCAACACACACCACTCGACGAACAGACGGACAGAGAGCGGAAGCAGTTTAAGGGGAGACCGCCTTTGTTGCTGCGCAGTAACCTTCTGTTTCTCTTGTCCGTTGAATGCATACCACTGGGCTCGGGCTTTGGCGCACTTCGATGGTTTCTCCGTCTGTCTGCCTGCACGAACGGAACCTAGAGCCAAACTGTATATTTCATACATTTTCAAGTCGAAAGGCAGTTGTTCATTTGTTCGACATCGGGCACGCGATATTTAATTGAGCGGCAAACGAACCATTGGCGTTAGCCAACTCTTGTGGTGGTTTTTGTTTCGTGCATTGTACCACATATCCTTTAACCCGCCGTTGCTGTGGCAAGTGGGCGAGTTTTGCCCTCTTCTCGGTGCTTTTGAGAATACGCCCCAGTCTTGCAAATCCCTTCGTTGCCAGCACGGCGGCGGAAAGTACCACTTGACCGTCGGCCAGTCATGTTTGCGCTACATTCCTCTTTCCATATGCAGTACGTGATCGAACGCCCATGGCAGTATACGACGTGAACTGAGATGCGCCCCAACCTCTAACTAACGTGGTTGTTGCAGGTAGTGTACGCCTACGATGCTAACGAGCATACCCACTCGGAATCGGAGATTCCCTGGTACCAGCCTCTGTGTGGGAGCTTCTGGAGCATCTCAGGATTCCGTCAGACACACCTTGGCCGTGTCTGCACGCACGGGCTTGTGTGCACCATGGAAATGTTGCGTATCGCTCCCAAGGGTTCCGCCCAGGTAGGGGGTGGCAGCATGTCTTGATGGCTGTTTCTCGTACAGAGCCGTGGAAGCGGTTTCGATTATGTTGCTCCCCGATACCTTCAAATTCTGATTCTCAAGTTTCTCTGACTTTCGCCCGAGTACGGTAGAAAAGAGTCGACACACTGTGTGTTCGCTGGGGATCTTTGTTCTATCCTCGCGGCTACAGGATGACCCTCTAACTTACTCCGTATCCTTCACCCATTCTGATGTGCTTGTCTGCTTTCATTGCTGTACTCAGGTGTCAACGCTTCTAAACAAAACAGCGATCGACCTCGTCAAGTCCGGACAGCTCGAGATCTTTACCCCCAGCTACTTTTTTGCGGCCCGCAAAAAGTGATACACCCCTTTTGGGGTTGGTAATTGATTCAGCAGTAGTAGGGAGATCGGTTTTGCTGAGCCCCCTGCGTCGATTGAAGACTTTTCTGACGCAAGGGATGACTCCCTCTAGTTTTTACACGAAGTATCCATTCGGTTGTGACGAGCAATTTTGCGAGTATTGAACTCTGGCTGTGTATGTAGAGAGGTGAACGGCCGCGTTGGTCAACTTAGTCATAGTTGTATGTGTATTTCAACGTACGGTGTCGATGGGAATCTATCGAAGGTCGCTGCACGTGGCTCATGTCGACCCTTCTAGCATAGGACAGTCAGGCACACGAGGTGAACTTCTTTTTTGGGAACACTCACGTGGTAAATGGTACTGGTATGGGTCATAACCGCAGGAACGCTGCAGCTATCGGGCCGCTCTCGAAAGACGTTTTACTTTCGGGGTCGTTGCAGCAAAATCGGTCGCGCGTACTGCTGGAGAACGCCCAGAGCCGCGCATTAGGTTCTTGTGTTGAACAGGACAGCGTCTGATAGTTTCTCACAGGTAGGGGGTGACCTCCATTCGAACAACCAACAACACCCTGTGGCGATGAGTGAGTGCAGTGGGTGTTGTTCTCTTGTGCCGGAACCCACGATGCCGGCCTCAAGCAAGCAGACGGGAAACACTCGAGACTTAAACAAAGTGCCAAGGCCTGGACCGGGGCGGGGGCGTTCATGGTCGAAGGGGGCTGCGCGGTGTGAGTGCTGCCCTTCATTCGTCCTGGACTGTCCACTTGTTTTGATCATGTGTGCTTGTTTTTTTGCTGTCAGTCGTCTCTCTTCGTTTGACCCATCCATGCGCTATAGACTCAAGTGTATGTCTCGAAACGACGTACTTGGCTCGTGACTTGTTTTTTCGGTCAGTTCCGGAAGCGTGTAAACAAATCAGTTGTATAGTTAAGTGCATATGCGCATACCTAAGTACGGAGTACTGTATCATCTCCCCGGGATGGAGCAAATAAATAAAGTAATACATACACTGCTGTTGCACGGCAAGGCGGTTACTCCGCGAATAATTGCGTTGCCAGAGTTGTAAAATCCTTCGCAACAGCTACCACTACCGCTTGCATGCATGCAAGGATGTGTACACTATGTGGGATCACTACGAAAATTTCCCCATAATTTACTGGTGAAGCGTAGTCTATCCGTGGTGAAAGCCGGATATACAGTATCGAGTAGCGGCGGGTACTAACAACCACCTCAGCCACCTCCCGCCCCAAAAGCTCGTTCTTCGACAGTAAAACCAACTTCGAAGATATTTAGGTATCGAACGATAGCTAACATTACCTGTCCCTCCCCCCAAAAATCGTCGTTAGTGATGAGGCACAGGTGTTTCCGTTTGCCCAAGTTCAAGTTGGAGTCTTGAGGGTTAAACGGCCCGGGGGGTTTTAACAACCATTTTGACGATTGGTTGATTGCGGGGGTTTGGAACCGTTTCAAGACCCAAGATTGGCACACATGCGCCCAACACACTGGTCGTAGAGAAAAATCAAGTTTTTTTTTCGGTCCCACCAGGGGATGAAAATTGGTTATCCCCGGGTTGTTGACGCAGATTNTTTCGCCTCGGCCTCTGCTTGTCTGCGCGTTCCTTCACGTCAACCTTTGCCAGGAATTCTTCCGAGGTGATGTTGCCTCCGTCGGGAAGGCCCAAAGAGCCCCGCGAGGTTGCCAGTTTCTTGGCGCGCTTCCTCAGTCAGGAGACCGCCGAGCATCAACGTGCCTACCTTGAGTCCGGTAATGGTGTGCCCTCCCGCCTTCAACTGTNTCGGATTCTGTCGTCTGCCCCTCTGGCCCCTATCCTCCATTTCTACTAGCTAGACGACCTAACCGGGGTCACATAGGAAGGGGGGGCTGGACCCCCTCCTGCGGTTTCCTGCCTGAGGTATTTTTATCGCGAGAAGGGTACAGCAATCCNTGCCCTGAAGCCGGGTCAGCGCTCGATCCATGTCCACAGGCCACAGCCCCGCCCCGGCGAAGGATGCTTTGTTCCGCTCCGGTGAAAAGCTCCTTTGCCAAGCGGCCGCGATCACGCCAGGCACGTCACGCTTCAGCGGTAACAATCCGCCGTTTGCGTGGTAGACTAGTAGTCTTGCAGCACTTAAGTCACCTCCTTCTTGAAGGTTCCGNTATTTTTATCGCGAGAAGGGTACAGCAATCCCTTCCCTCGCGACTTACGAAGTCGATTATGGTTTACTAACAACGAGCTTTGCAACGCGTCTTTTTCATCCTANGCCGTTTGCGTGGTAGACTAGTAGTCTTGCAGCACTTAAGTCACCTCCTTCTTGAAGGTTCCGAAAGCGACGACGTCCAACGGCTGGGTGATGTGCGACGTGTGGGAGGGCAGCTGGAAGAGGATGATGTTGAGTTCCATGGCCAATTTGATTACCTCGCAGCTCTCGTGTGAGGCATGCCCATCAAGCACGAGGATGTGCGGCTTTCCGTCTAGCAANTGACCTGGCCCTTAGGAGGCTGCGAGGTTACCCACTAGACCACCGGGGCGACCGGTATCATGTGGGGGGCGGGATTTGCCTCCGTTTGCCTGTACGGGGTGATATGTTCATCGAAAACGAATAAAAATAACCGATTTGGGGCATCAACGGGTTGCTCCTGTCAATAGCCGACCACGAAAAAAATAATCACACCAAAAGGAGNTTGAGGTACTTGATGAACACGTCGCCCTGCATGAACGAAGAGTCCGTGCACGTGTACCTCGCATCCTTCGGGCGGTTCCTCTCGGCGAACCAGTCAGGCTGGAGTCGCTGTCTTTTGAAGACAGTGGTTGGCGCCCACGTGGCACCATTGGCGCTGACGGTGGTGACCACGGTAGTGTTCTCTCGTNTTACGGTCAAAAAATAGCTGTTCAAAAATGGGTATATTTTCGGTATTTTGCGTGCCGCTAGGGCAAGAATCAGCCCCGTACACCACTAACCCTGGATAGACTATTCTGGACTGTTCATACATCCCGACGACATGAAATTTGGAGGGAGTATTCAGACATGAATAATAGCAAAAAAAAAAAGGTCACCCGCNTCCTTCGGGCGGTTCCTCTCGGCGAACCAGTCAGGCTGGAGTCGCTGTCTTTTGAAGACAGTGGTTGGCGCCCACGTGGCACCATTGGCGCTGACGGTGGTGACCACGGTAGTGTTCTCTCGTGAGTTGGACCGCATCGACTCAACCACCTTTTGCCCTGCCTCCGCGAAGGCCTTCATCGTCTTCGTGCCTTGCGGTGTGGTACCTAATTTCACCCGCGAGAANCGACTCCACGTAAAAACTGACGACTTTTGTAGCTTGTTTTGTCCTACTCTTGAGTGTGGTAGAAAACGAACCGNCCAAATCGCGTAGGTGGAGGTCAAGGGGGGTGACCAGCTACGGCAGATATAAAATGCAAAGGTGTACACACACACAACCACAATGCAATGGATAGTCTACCGCGCTCCTAGCAGGATAGACTGCGCTTCACCGAAGGGGCGGGGCGGTCATGTATTCTTCGTGAAGCAAGTTGCCACCTACTTTGGTAGTAGGACTGGACTGGCAGCAAGAACAGTAACAGCAAGGTGTGCCTATTCAATGCTCGGTACTCGTCCTAGACTCGTCTGCTTTACATCATTTACACACATGCACGCTGTCCTGCTGTACCCGCAAGCTACACTTTCTGCAGGGTAGACTTGCGGAACAATTGGCCAAAAAGACCATGCCNTGCCGGCTGGCGAACGGGCAAAGCCGCCCCTTGTGCTGCAGCCGCTCCTTAACCACGGCCAGATGAGGCCCCTCTTCCAGCCCCTGTTCGGCCGCGTCCTNCATGCACGCTGTCCTGCTGTACCCGCAAGCTACACTTTCTGCAGGGTAGACTTGCGGAACAATTGGCCAAAAAGACCATGCCACACAGCCCTTTCTCTATGGTACATTTGTGTAGTTAGCAGTCTGAACTACTGCTGTACTCCACTTTAGACCACTCTACAACATAGCCAGCGTCGACTTCGGCAACATGGAACAGGTCCCAGGGCGCACAGCACAGGTGAGATAGAGCACAGCAGTACATACGTGGACTACACCAGAAGGACGCCCCGTATCTTTGAAAATTCGGCTGCACACCAGAATTCCGCAACGTCGCGGTCTTTGCAGACGAGCTTGCACATGCAGCTTCTACTGATACCACACTAGTATAGACTAAGTGTACATCCTCACCTGTCTCGTCCGTGTTGTGCACGTGGTCGGCCTCCGGCTTGTGCTCGTCGAGGAGAGCTGCCCACTTCTTGTAGAACTCGACGATGCGAGGCTCCTTGTCCTCGGTGATTCTGTTTGCCTCGTAGATGCGAGTCGTGCGCTCCGACACCCGTGGGTGCCTCTTGAGGAAGCCAGCTAGCCAGTCCTTCCCCGGACCCTTCTCTAGATCCCAAGGGATCGGGAGACCGTCGTTGCACAGCTGTCCAACGGTTTCCAGAAGGTGCAGCCGACCCACAGCCAAGCAGTGACGACCAGCGTACAGCAGAACATCTTCAAGAGAGTTTTCCTCTTCTTCGCTCAGGGCAGTCGCGGGACCAAGTTTTGCTTTCATGGCCACCGCGCCATCGAGACGGCTCTTAATCGACCACCTATCTGGCCCCGAGAGCCTAGAGGCCTCTCGGATCTTCATGCCACCTCTTAACTGACTCACATGCCTTCCGAGCTTGCTCTGGGTCCAGCTGGTTGCGGCCCATGCTTATCAGCAAAACCAGCAAAAGACCGAAGATGGCCCGCATCGGCGGTGAGTGGTGCAGCTGCTGCTGTATCTCGTCGCTGGATGCTCTGATTGCGACGCTGAAGTGCTCAAACGAAAGCTCTCGTCTCTCCGCGAATTAAAAAAAAAAAGTTCCAGGAGCTCCGTGACTGTATGAATGAGATACCCCCATGTTTTTTTTGTTTGTTTGTTTTTCTCCCATCATTGGACTCTGTCGTCTGCCCCTCGGGCCCCTATCCTCCATTTCTACTAGCTAGACGACCCAACCGGGGTCACATAGGAGGGGGGGGTTGGACCCCCTCCTGCGGTTCATGCCTGAGGTATTTTTATCGCGAAAAGGTTACAGCAATCCCTTCCCTCGCGACTTACAAGTCGATTATGGTTCACTAACGAACGAGTTTTGCAGCGCGTCGCTTTCATCACAGACCAGGATTTATTTAGTGAGAAGAAACCTCTCTCTGCCGGGACTCGAACCCATGACCTGATCCTTGGCAGGCTGCGGTAGACCACCGGGGCGACCGGTCATGTGAAAATATGTGGTCGTTAATACCTGCGCGGGTGGTTGTTAAATACCCGCCGCGACTCGTTATCTTGGGACTGACTGCTGTTAGAGAAAGCGCAGTCAGTCATTCCATAGCCAAACAGGGAAGCGTACAACATCTTCACTGGACGTCCTTGTGTTGCGGACCATGTGTGTGCATTACACTGCACCTCTCGCCTCGCTGCCTTGTTCAACCACGCAGCTATTCGTGACTTGAGTATTATATTTGTTCCCCGATGGAATGCAGTAAAAAGCAGACTACTGCTGTACGGTAGGGACTTCTTGGGGGCTCTGCGGGCTAGTGAATTGCGCATGATAATAAACGTGGGTACCACGGTAAAACACGTTGTGTCCCCCCAGCAAAGCAGTGCAGTCCACACACACAACATAGCACAGCAGGCGTGGGAGCGTCGAAACGGCAGAGAGGCGAGAGAGAGAGGGATAGGGGGAGAGAGACGAAGCAGTGCCAACGTGCCAATAGCAGCAGCGAGGATGGTGCGCTCGAAGGAATCCATTAAGGTGGCAGGCCGGGTCGAAAGCGTGGACATTTCAGACGACATGATTGTGGTGGCGACATCCAATCTCGGCGGCAACACTTGGGATTCATCGCTTCAAGTGCTAGATTTCTCAACGAAAGAGGTGGTTGCGTCGGTGAAGCAGCAGTCCGGCTGCGCAGACGTCTGCTGGATTAAATCTGAGCGACGCGCAGTCTCAGCAGGAGACAACGGGGATGTGAAGGTGCGTGTGGTTGGCTGGATATGACAATGCCCCTCGGATCAGATACTGACTTCTATGCAATCCTGCAGCACAGCTATCACATCGTCGTTACATTCCCCACGCCCCTCGGCTAGTATATTATCAATACTCTGGAGTATGTACTGATGCATGACGAGTTACAAGCACATGGTGATTGAGCGATACAGCGGTGAAGTAAATAATACTTTAACAATAGGGAGGGACAAGAGAGCCAGCGCGGCCACTCAACGACGGAAAATACCATATGGGCTACACAGCAGTGCTGCACACGCGCCCTGCGAGGACACTTCCTCACCCCCCCCCCTTGATTGTTGTGCATAATCTGGAACAGGCTTCTTTGTAGCAGTTTTCTAGCAAAGTCTACTTGAGATGCCCTCTTCTACAAGTATTAATAAAACAAAAAAAGAGGGGAAGATGGAGGAAAAGGAGGGGACGGGCGGCGCGTAGGCTAGCTAAGAGAGCAGCGCGCGCCGCGCGAAAGAGACAGCAGGGTCAACTTCTTAGGGTATGCATAGTAACCTGGAATGTGCAGACTTTGGCTGTAAACGGGGCCAATGGATACGGGCGAGCTTACAGCGTTCTACACGAGGCAGCGAGACAAGACGTATCGGTGGTAGGAATGCAGGAGACACGGAGGGCAGGTCGAACGGAATTTGCAGCAGCGGGTTTCCGGGTGTTCTGCTGTGGCACGGAGACTGGTGGAATCCATGGTGTGGGGATAGCCGTCAAAGAGTCACTGAGCAAGACATCCACGTTCACTACGGAGTTTATCGATGAACGCCTTATGGCCATGAGGTTGCTGTTGGCAGGCCACCGTGGAGCGGTCAACTTCGTAGCCGCGTATGCTCCAACCGAACCTTCAACGGCAGACAGCAAGCGCGTGTTCTGGGGAAAACTCGACAGTCTCGTGCGGAGGATCCCTTCCAAAGAATGTGTGTATGTCCTACTGGACGCCAACGCGCGGACGGGAGATAGGTTGGACGGAGG